GCAACACACCACATACCCTACTGCTTGAATCTGGCTATTCATACTCGACCTCTGAAGTGGCTAAATGGTTGTTTAGCATATTCCACAATCTAGTATGCAAAGTATTTCGTGTCTGCTCATTTTCACAGTCAGAGCCTTATTTTTTTTAGTAACAGGATTAAAGTCCTAACTGTGAACCATTTATTTCATTACATCTCTTTCATCATAGAAAAGCTACTTGGGGAAAGTGGATGAAAATGTCTGTTTCCCCCATCCATCCAGGCAGCACTGACACAGGATGAATAGTTTCCCAGTAATTCAGAGTGTAGGAGTTGAAACCGAGTTTTGCACACTCATAAGGAGACTGAACAGCCTGGCAAGGGATTGCTGAGGCTGAGGCACTGTAGAGCTTCTTGGGAATGTGGTGCTTCCTCTTGCACAGACTTCACTGTGGAATGTTATTGCAGCCTCTCATTGTTTGGCTTAAAATTCATCTCTGTGTGAGTATAGTATGTCCCATTTTGAGAGCATTGTTGGAGCTGAGATGTGTTTAGGCCTCAGGTGAGCTGCTGGTCCCCTGCTGATAGTAGGGTCCAGTGCTCTTAAGTATCTCTTCTTACAGCACGTGTACATTCTTCTCTCTTGCTGTCCCAAAAGTATTTGGGTGGATGAAGTCTTATTATTGAAATAACAGTCTGAAACATCTGGAAGTGTTGAAATAAAAAAGCTATATCTGTCTCTGGCCTTAATGTTGCTCAAGTAAAACGTTTCACCACAAAATCTGAAAAATGCACCTAATGCAGTACATTTTTAGTGGCAAAGAATTCGATGCGACTGTCATGACTCATCCTGTGTTTTGGAAGATTTTTCTGTAAGAGCAGAAATTGTGTATTTGCTAAGCCATTCTCTGACATGACAGGTGAGGAGTCAAGGAGTTTGTTTTAATAGATAGTCACAAACCTGAGTAATTAAAACTCCACTGGGAACATGCAACACACCAGTTCACAGAATTTTCTTCTAGAAGTCTAATTTGACACCTAAGAACCCTGTTAACACTTTGAAATCTGCATTTTCTATGCTAAACTGTTAATAAGCAAACCACTTTGACTAACAAACGCATTGAGCTTAGTGAAATTTTCATGCATTTGTAGTCATACACAAAACCGAAGGAGATTTTATGTAGGTGGGCTACTTGCTGTCTGAGTTCTTCCACTGTTGTGATGATGCATCTTCTGAATTCTCGGCTCCTAGGATAACAAGGCTTATACACTGATGCCCTCTGTGTCCACCTCCCTTTGATTGCCAGTCCCCAGTCACTTCTGAACTCAACGTTTTTTTCAGACAAATTTACCGGGAAGGACTGATCCCGCAGATGGTTGTTTCCTATAACTGGCAGTAAAACAGGCAGTGTGGAATGACAACAGTATGAAGTTTGCTTCTCCTGAACAAGCAGCAGACAATCCACATGAAAGACAAAATATTTGAATTTGTTAAGCATGGGAAAAGTTTCGGTAGGGTGGGAAAGCTTTTACTAAAGACTGCAAGCCTGAGAGACCGACCCATTGAAAACCACACAATAGTAATTCCTGTGATTATGGAGGCAGAAGGAAGAACCAAATAGTTCCTTATTCCTAAGGTGTGTAGAGAAGCTATTCCTGTAAGGCATACTTCCAGGCAGCTATTTCATCCTGTGAGCCGCTAATGATAAAAATTTCTGTTGCGTAGGATCTAACACATAAATGTGATTCTGTGCTGAAAGCTTCTGAAACTGAGTTGACATCACATTTGTTAATTTTCTCTTTATATACATAGCGCCGCAGTAGCTGTGGTTAGCAGGGAAGCGAACATCTACCGACCAGAAGATTATAGTTGCCGAAGGATAAACTGGATTTGACTTCATTAGTGCACAAATGATAAGTTTGTGAGGAGTTATTATAGCATTAATCAACTTGATGGATTGGAAATATGACAGAACTGAAGCAGCGTGTAATATTAGTGCCTATTATTCTACAAATTATGTCTTCACCTACATTCATAAGGCAAGAGTCATTGCTGTGCGTTGAAGATGTTACACACTTTCCCCTCCGTGGGGGCATGTGACATCCCTTCAGTGATTCCTCCTCCTGTCTTCCCCCAGCGGGGTTCTGGTCTCCTTTAGCTGCATGTTTTCGCCTTACAACTAATCGAAGGCGGCTTAGGAGCTGATATTTGAGTTTAGTTTGCACCTTGTGAACCTGGGCATCTCTTGTAGCAGTGTTGTTTAAACTTCTTGCTCCATCAGAAAAAAGGTATTTCATGCTCTAAACATCTGGGAGAAAGAGAGTGAGTAGAAATTGGAAGATAGGGGATAGATAGTGAATGGGTACTTAATTATTTGATTTCCAGAGGGTTGCTCAGGCTTTGTGTGTGTACCTCCAGTACTGCTGAACACAATCTGCTGCATGCAATTCTGAATGCATGTTGCAGACTATTTTTTCTAGGATATGAGTAATAATACGTGAACCTTAACATGAAGTTGATTGTTTTAAAATCCAGTCTGTGCAGTGTTAGCAAAATAATTATCTTTTGTCTGTTCCACGTACGGAGAACTGAAGGCCTCGGTTCAAGGCTTCTGAGCATGTGTCTACCTTGCCCAAACACGGTCAGAATTATGACCTCCCTCTGGAGACCGTCAGGTGCCAAGTGCAGGGGGTATTATGCAATCCTTTTCTTACAACTGCTGAAATTTGGAGTTTTAAGGTGTATTGATAACAAAGGCTGAGATTTTCATGTGGCTGTTTGTCCTCATTTTGTTTACTTGTCAAAAGACTTATATTAGACTAAACTGTGAATGAGTGAATGCAAAGATTTTAAACTACCCTTGTCCTTTCCTTCCCTCAAGTTGGGTGTCTGCTGCTGTGTACTAAGACTGTGGCATAAAGACTTCATATCGTGACTGATGAAATTAGGGTCAGCGGCTATGGTTCATGAAAATCTGTATGGGATGAGTAGAATGTGGAAGGAAAATCTAAGCCAATAAGGGTAAAGGAGTTGCAAAATATATTCTACTTGTGTTTTAGTTTGTAGCACGAGTACGGCATGCTTTAGCAGTGGTGTAGCTTTGGATTCGGTGTGCCAAGAAGCTGTTTCTATACATATATCTCCATGGCTACACATAGCTTAGTGCCAAGATCAGACGGGAATTAGTGTTTGAATTTCTTGAAACACACCTAGCTCTTCTGTTGGAAAATGAAAAGTTCACTTGATTTTCATGGGCCCAAAACATTTCAGCCACGTGCTTGCGAAAAATAGGCCACGTCCAATTTGGGCTGGAATCCAAGAATTAGATATAATTAGGACATTTCAGTCTGAAGAGGGTCAGGCAAAAATTTTCAGTAGAAATGGGCCCATGCTATTTGAAATTCTCTGTATCATTTTGGGCATGTAAAAAGAATGTTTTCACGGTTGGCTGGAGTATTTACGAGATCAGTGTACTTTTGTGGCTTAGTTACTTCTTTATGTATCTCTGAATCCAGCACTGGTAAGTTTGCTAAAGTACAGTAATAACATTCTTAATTTTCTTATTCCATTTGCTCTTGCAAGACTTCAGTGGACCAGAAGAGATGTATATTAGATAAATAATTTTAAAGAGTTAAGGCTGACACTATCTTAGTTTAGTTTCTTTTTGCTTAAAGAAGTAAATGTACTTCCACCTCAAGAATTTTTACTCCAGGGCAAAACTTTAATGGAGGGGTGTAAAACCCATAACTGCTATAATAAAACATAAAACATTTTTTCTTGACACTTAAATGTGATTAGTTGCTTTCTCATGCCCATACTAGTATAGGTTCAATAGTCTCTGTGCCTTAATGTTAGAGGCAGTGACCTTTGCAAAACTGTGTACAATGCTATAAGCTTTTAGTTCTATGGGACTTCCATAAAAGTGAATACTTCATGAATATCCAAAAAGAGGGATAGTTAGAAAATTGTACATACTTTTTTCTTTGAGTTCTGAGGGCAAAGACACAAAGGTGACCTTACTGAAGCCACTGGCACATTTCTGTTTGAACCACACGTAGTTATGTATAGACATTATTGCTTTTTAAAAAAAAAAATTACGTGATTAGAGCATTAATTTTGTTTACAAATAGCTAGTTTGGGTAGAATGCAAGGGCTGAATTGGTATTTAAAAATAGATTTTTAATCGGACATTAACAAGGAATGTAATGGAGACAAAACAATGTGATGACCTGTTATCTTAATGCTACCATTAACAGTAAATCAGTACTGATTATTATTTTTGCCTTCCCATAAATTCAAGTAACGTGTGATTGATTAAGTGCAACGGTTCTCAACTGGAAGATCTGATTGTTTCTTACTGCCTTGCTTTTTTTTTTTTAAATTTATTTTAACAACTGTTCAACTCTTGAACAACTGATGATGGAGTTTTATTTAATGCCTATTGACATTCCCATTTTAGGGTTGACCAGTGCATCATTTAAAGCAATAGGTAGTCCCAGTTTTCCTGGTGTGTAGGTGCCTGACATGCCCGAGCACCTGGCTTTGTGGGTGTTATATAGGACCAGTGAGGACACAACTTTAAAAGGCAGAAAGCTTTTCCATTTCCCCAAAGCATTCCTCACACTTGGCTTGGAGGTTTGGGTTTCTCTCCTCTGTGTCGTGTTCTGTTCTTTCCAGAAATCTTTGTTTAGTACTTTAATAAATAGTTTCTTTTGAGAGTGCCCAGAATTGTGATGGGTATGTGCACAAGGATGCCTTTATGGTGGAGGGAAAATAGTAGCTTGAATTTAGCTTTTCTTGCAACCAGTGATTTGTCTCTTATTTTTCTGCTCTGTGTTATCCCTCTGTGGGCAGGAGAGAAGTATGGGAGAACAGAGTGACAGTGGGACGTTTTTAGGGCAGGTTAAATCTTGCATCAGCATCTTTGCAGTTTGAGTTGAGGCTCTAGGTAACGTTTGTGTTCACTTAGCATCAGCAAGCACATTGTTTGACCTGCTAATTAATTCTTCTTCTTCCCCCAGCCGCAGAGCCTTGGCCTGAAAATGCTGCGTTGTATCAGCAACTGAAGGGTGGGTACACTGGTTTTTGCAATTAATAATGACTTTATTTTTAGAAACACATCAAATATGCACTAAGATAATTAACTGCAAGGAAGCACAGAAACTGTTAAGAGGCCTTTGTGTTGTTTGTCTGGTCAGAGGTTTAGCTACGCTTGCATCTGCCAATATAAACCAGCTATTCATGGCCTATAAGGTCCTCGGTTTATTATTGACTCATTATATTGGCTGCTGTAGGCAGTGTAAAATGATGTGGTTGCAGGCACAGTTGGCAGATTTACTGCACCAATAGCTGAGGCAGCAGATTTTTGAAGTCTTGTGGTAAAGTGGGCTCTCAGTAAAAAGGAACTGTTAAAATGTATAGGCTAGGATGGTTCAGGCTCCCTTTAGCAGCTCTTCATATATCATCAGATCACATTATGGCCCCCATTTGGGGCTCAGCAGCCTGCTACAGTTGTCAGAAGACTGCAAAGTAATGAAGACTAATAGGTAGCAGCCCTAGTCTTCTAAGCATGGAATTTTTATTGCAGTGAACTTGTCATCTTTCTTTTGTGTGACAGACCTAGACACAGTGTGCAATATTAACTGCAAGCCGCTTTTATAGGTTTCTGAATGCTTTTACTTTTTAGCCAGAGGAGTTATGAAGATGCGGTTTTATTTAACTTTGATTAGAAGAAGAGTAATTGGCATAAAACTCAAGCATTTGGCTTTTAGTTGTTAGCATTTTTTTATTGTATATTGGTGGTAGTGTATGATAAATGCAATTGCATTTGCAGCAGAAGTATTCATGGTATTCTTTTTTTCCCCTCTTTTTTTTTAATATTCATATCACAGGTTTTCTAGTCCAACTACATAATAATTATATATGTGCTCCTTGTTTTACGCGTAAGAAATGCAACCCAGAATGGCTTACAGTTACAGGTCAGTAGCTGAATGGGCACTGTTTTTTGTAATTGTGTGTTTTGGTTTCTTTTCTTTCAACAGAGGAACAAATTTTGCTTTCTGATAATGCATCTTCCCTTGCTGTTCAGGTAAAACATCATCTTTTCTAAACTAGAGATGTTAATTCCGTTTTTTTTTTTTTTTGGATGATTGTCTAGCTAAAGTAACTGTCTGTAGCTAAATGAATAATTTAAGAATTATTTCTGTCAAAATCAATGGCTTATTTTCTGCATCTGATGTGCTTTGCATTGTCATTGAAGTGCCAGAGCCTAAAGGACATGAGGATTTTGAGGATCCTATACAGTATTCATATTTATATTGGTCTGTGTTTGTACAGTATCTGCTTGTGTACCTGCTCTGGGGACTCTGTATGGTTCCCATCTTTTGTCACTTGGTACGCTAGTTCATCTTGTAACATCATGCATGATACTTGCTGGGTATTTAATTCTCAAAGCTAATACTGCTCCAGGTTTGAGGCATATTTGCTTTATGCTGTGCGCATCAAATCTCTGTATGTCTCCAATAGGTTTTCTCCATTTCATCATGTATACAGAGTGGAGATCCAGTGTGGGTTTCAGTCCATATAATTGACAAACCTGTATCTCTAATTGACTTAAAAGCACCTCTGTGGCTGACAGAGTCCACGTAAACTCCATCAACCTGTTAAGTTTGGTAACCCCAAATCTCGAGGGGATGTTTTCCTCATTAGTAGAGAGGGCCTGGCTGTCAGAAGTGGTGGTGAGCAGGCCGTCTGTAAGGTTTGTGTTCTTCAAAGCAACTTCACTGCTGCTTTCTGTAGTAGTTACATTGTTCCCCTGCTTCTTGCTTGTTATGTGTCTTCTAGCTCAGAGCCGCTAGAGCAAGCAGTCTTTGGGGGCTATCCAGAAAGTCACATCTCGTTTAGTCTGCAAGCGGGAGGCTTGGAGACTGTAACTGACATTACCGGTAAAAAGATTAGGATCATTTGATCATGGTAACTACTTCCAGGATCTCTAACTTTTTTCCTACCAGTCTGGCAATCCAGGAAATAGCTCTTAAGAGTAAATTCTATCACAGCAAGGAGGTACCTTTGTCCTTTGCTGGAAACAAGAGTCATCTTTGATACACCAAATAAATAAGGCAGTGGTTGTTTGGGCAGTGTGTTTTATATCATGCCTCAGTAATGCAAATAAGTGTTTTTGTTGCTCACTTGGCCTCTGTGTTCTTGTTACTCCAGCAACTGTATTTTTTGTGGTTCTCAGGAATTTTCTTACCATATAACAATACGTAGAGGTGTGGCTTGTATTTAAAACACAAAGAAAAAAACCCAACAACATGACCCTAAAATTTCCTTTTCTAATGCATCATTTTGCTTAACTGTTTCCAGTTCATTGTTATCCTACACATGTCACTTAGATGATAAATTAACTATAATATATTAAAAATGCTTGGTTTTCTTCAATATTCTCTAGCTGGACAGCTGATAGTAGCCATGACTATAAATATGGCTCTGGTAGATATCTGATCTTAAACTTTATAGAATAGTTTTCTATTGGGGAATCATATCTGTTTTGAAGAATCTCTGTAACATGGTTGTGACTGTGAAAGAATAGCTATCCGTGGTGTCTTTGATCCGTTTTGAAACGATACTAGGATCTGTAGTTATGTATGACTAGTTAGTGATCCGAAAGCTTTAAAAGTACTGGTGTGTTTTGCATAAGGAATTGTGGAGTTCCTCTGTTTCAGAATTTACTTCTTATTCTGATGAGAGCCTGTTTATCTTTTTACTAGGTATTTTTTTGCCTTTTTTCAGGGGTGTGGAGTGGGAGGTGGGATGTCTTTTCCCGAGGAAGAAATGGGAATGGGAAATAGAAGGAGAAATAAGAGCTGGTACCTGGGACTTATTTTCCCACTCTTGCCATTCCTTTTCCCTCTGTTACTGATTTGAGGCACATGAATATCACCAGAGCAGATACATAGCTTGTTCATTGCTTGTTGAACTTCCGTGTGGTGAAAATACATCAGAATTTTGAGTCCCCCTGATCAAAATAGCATGTGGAGTCAGCCACCGTCAAATCTTTAAGGGACATCGTTCGCAACAAGACTCTAAATGTGCTGCAACTGGTCTTTCAGATCTTTCTCAAAATCTCCTTACAGCACTTCCTCATAATCTGCTCTGGGATAGCTCTCCGAGGACATAAATGCAGATAGCTACATATAAAATAAAGAATAGAAATCCAGTGCCACAGTAAGCAATTAGCGAGAGCAAAAGTTGACTGTTTAGAAATTGACGACCCAACAACACAGATGGCATTTCACGTACCCCTCCTCAGCAGAGCAGATCAAGCAGGCAGCAGAGGAAGTTACTCAGCGCAGGTGTAACAGAGGGCTGCGGGTATTGTGTTTGAATTAATGAGTAGCGAGGGCTGCACATCGTACATGGGAGGTTGGTTGGGTCTTGCTGTTTTAGTAATGATTTGACTTGTGACATCTCATTGTGCAATGCAGTCTGAACTCCCAACTGTAGCTACGTGTCGGGTAAGAAGGAGGAGGAGAGAGTCTTCTGGGAGTTGCTACGTAACTGTGGTGGTGCCTTCAGTAGTTAAAACCCAACCAAACCGGCCGAAAAAAATCTCTCTCATCTTAGGGAACCTCTGTGCTGAGTCTGATAGGGGTTTTTTATTGTTTTTGTTTGTTTTTTAATTCCTGTCCTGCCCATTGTTGTTTCGGGAAACAGGCTAAATTAACAATTCCTTTGTCTTTTACTGGCTTCAGATTTTTTTGTATTTACTGAAAATGCATTGTAACTTGAAACAAGCTGGGGCATTATCCCTGGAACATCTTGGTGTTTGCACTCCTCATTTGTTAACTTGAAGTAGTTCGTTACACAGTCCTGTTGAAAGTGAAGCCCATTTGATCTTAGACTGCAAAGTCTTGATTGAATGAAGTTTTATTTTCACTGCAAAGGAATTAAAATCAAGGGAAATACTAACCAGTAATGATTATCCAGCTACAGGAAAGAGAACGTTGTACGTGGAATGGAGGCTCTGTTCTTCTTGTGAGATGTTCAGCCCTGTTCCCATTAAAGTTAATGAAAACACATCTGCTTCCTGGGTAACATGACTCATGGCTTAAACCATTCTCTGCTTATTTATTGTACAGCTTTCATTATACAGCATTCCTCCTTATCAGTTATCATCATAGTAAAGAAAGCTACCAAAAGCCAGAAGTGAATACACAACTATATTTCAATAACAAAGCAACTCCCCGACTTCATGGAGGGAAAAATGGAGTTTTAAATGGGATTAAAGCTGAATTACCACAGGAGAGTATATTTCAGTCTGAAGCAGAGAGCCTGTCCAGGCCCCGTCTCCCTGTAGGTGCCTGGTTCAGGTAAAGCCTTTTTGTTTAGTGCTGGGGTGGAAGTAGTGTGGCTGAGGAGGAGGGAGGGGGTTAATACAGCAGTGCAGTGCCAGGTCTCTTGCCTCAAATGGCAGCGTGGGATGTCTCTGCACTGTTCCAACTTGCAGGGTGGAGGAATGTGGATGTTGAGACTGCCTCTGTTATTACAGGTTCTTCTGAAATCTTTATGCAGGTATTCTCAGAGTCTTGCTTAAAAGGCTGCCTAAATTGTTCAGGATTATGGAAATTCTCATAGCTATCCTGAGGTTATAGAGCCTGCAGCTCATTGTGTTCAGATATGTATTAATTGCTTGTGCAATTGATGTCCTTGTAAATGGTCTTAATACATTTCAGGAAAGTGCGTTTAGAATTGTCTATTCTTAGTCCTGAATGACAGAAAGATGTTTGGGCAATTTAAAATTGTGTTACACAGACCAACTGCTTATTTACTCAACAAGTAATCAAATAAATGCGTAAATCATGTATGATTAATTGCCCTCGACAGAGTTGTGATTTTTGTGTGCATGTGTATGAATTGTGGTTTGGTTTTTCTCTAGATAAAACATTAGCAGAAATTTGAACTTGTTGCTGAGGCTTGAACAAAGGCTTAGTACTGAAATGAAAATCTGACAATCTGACAATCTCTTTTTTTCGCCGAGAATAAAAGCTGGAATTCTTCATGATGAGAAATGCAGTATCAACATAATCAATCTAGCAGCATTGTGTTGTAGCTGAAAACATGCTTAAATCCCAAGCCATACAGGTACTGTTTGTGAGTGAAACATCTTTCATATAGTTCTGAGATGAAATTACCCCTGAATGAATAGCATCTTCATTTATCTTCAAAACCTCTGTGCTACCAGTGAATCTGCTCCTTCCGCATTCTACAACAAGAATTACATTATACCATTAAAGCGGTGTTGTGCTGCAGTGTAAAATAGATTGGTTTGGAGAATGAACGTGGCTTTGCTATAAATTACGTTCACAGGTACAAAGGAATTTGTTATTTTGTTTAAAATAGTCACAAATATAATTAAGCTCTTAATTTATGTTAAACTACAAATGTGGCCATTACCATAACTGGATTAGGAATTTAATCTGTCACTCAAAGAATGATACTGAACAGTTTTCATTTATAACCTTAGACACACTATTTCAGTTACAGGGTCTGCAGCTGTTTGATATGAAAACTGAATCATTCTGTAGATTTGTTCATGGTTTTTAATTTTAAAATGTGTTCCTACAATAAAGTAGAGAATAACTCTTCAGTTGTCATCACATATTGTCCTTTGCATGCTCATGAAATAATGTAAAAATGAAAACAGAAAACGCTTTTCACTCTTCCTTCACAACAGTATTGTGTGAGTGCTTGTAGAAGTGCGGCTGAGTAAGAGATGGCCTGGAATCCCTCGTTCTTTATTAAAAACTAATCATGAATATATCTTCTTCAAATGAAGCCCGGAGTGTGCCATCTGAAAACAGTGTTGCTCATGTGGGGACCTAAGTTGTGAACTGTTTGAGTCTTGGCGTAAGTAATTTCATTCTTGCCTCTGATCTCAGAAACTGCAATCTGGATATGATTTACATCAAGTTGTAACTCATTTTTAATGAGTATTTGTGTTTGCTCAGATGTGTTACTCTGAGAGGGGACTGGAGGGGAAGAAGAGAGCGCTGTGATGGAGCTCTGACAGGGTGATTCGCCGCCTGA